GGGCTTTTGGGGACGGGGCGCTGTGTACCGACTGCGCTGTGCCACGCTTCAGCTCCACAAACCGTGACAAAACCCACAGGCGAGTACCACCGCGAGCCGGGGTTGGTGGCTTGAAATAACTCGAAAAGCAAATGGGGGGGCTGCGTTGTCCAGTCGCGCGCTGAAACTGTCACCCTTCCTCGCCCGGATTCCTTAAATCAGGCCGACTAATGTGCTTTTGTTTCCTTTGCAGATCGGGGAGCGTAGCGCAGAACTGGCATGAAATATTTGATTTTGTGAATCAGCTGACAGAAAGATTTGTGAGGTGCGTGTTGCTCCTTGTGACATCTACGGTACGGGGATGTGTTGAAAAAAAAGCACATGCTTTTGTACGCTCGGTAGATGTGTTTCACAAACAAGTTAAAGAGTTTGGCTTCTAGTGCCCAAATTGCGGGAAGATTTTGTAAACTTTTACTTTGTTGTCTCAGGTTTGGAGCTCAGTAAAAAGGTGGCAAGATACATCTATAAATACTGATCTGTAAAATTAGTCTCGGATGTAATTGTGTTATTTTTTTTAAACTTTTTTTTCAGAAGCCACATGCCTCATTTCTACAGAGTACTTCTTGTAACTTGCTTTTACAGACCCGTAGAAAGAAGGCAATCTGAACACGTGTCTCTCTGCCTGTAAATATATGGTGCAGGTCAAAAGGAAGGGAGTATCTGTCACGATCAAACATACAGGATGTTTGTGCCATGTTAACAGTATATTTGTTGTACATACACGTAACCAGCTTAGTAAGTGGCTTGAAGTATTCTCTGGCAACTATTGCTGCCACAGAGACCACTGTTGTAAATACTGGCTAACTGTTCTCTGTGCAAACAGCTGAGGGTTTTACTTTTAGAGAAAAACAGACCAAAACAAAGGAAGCCCCCACCGAAGACACAGACATACTCGTTGTGGTAGTTTTTGCTAAAGAAAATGAAGTGCAGTGGGTAATTATAATCTTGGCTCGCTAATGAAGAGATACAGTTAGGCTTGCATAAATAAATATTGTTTACATTTGTCTTGCAAAAAGCAAATCTCTTGTAAACCAAGTGGGTGACACAAGCTTTTGAAAGTTATTTTCTAAGCTCCATAATAATAAAAAAAAAGAGCGTGAGGATACCAAAGCAGCACTTCTTTTTGACGAATGGTAAAAAAAATGCATTTGCCCCCACTGAAGGGGTGGTGCTTGTTCAGTGTAAATCTCTCAGTTCATGATGTTTTGCAACAGTTGTGTAGCGGTCTGGCTGCATTATCTGAAAAAAAGCTGTGGAGTTGGCGAGTCCCTCCGCTGACCTTTCACGCCAACGGACGATCAGTTATGGTGCAGAGCCAGACAGTCCAACCCTACGAGCATCTCACGTAGTGTGGGGCTGCTGAGCACTCAGCCGTATGTGGCACAAACCCGTCACAGCACAACAGTTGTTGGGCTCTTGTGGGAGCCTAAGCAGTACATCCCCGGTGGGACTGGCGTGCCCCTGAAGGCTGATGAGGCTTTGTCCTGCCTTCAGGCCTCAGTACACTTTCAGAATAGGGCATGGAGTCATTTGACCCTGCCCTTTCTTAAAATTGAAAAGAGTAGTTGTGGGAAGAAGGCAAAGAACCAATTGGTGGCAGTTTCCTTCAGTCCTCACCTGAAGGACTGATCCATGGCGGTGCATCTGCTCTCTGGTTCCACTTGTCTGTAACGTGCACGTTTGCAGTAGTAGCGCTGCATGCTGATTATCTGGGTTCCAAAAGGCCTGCGCCTGGCAGGGCTATCGGGTCTCACGGGTGTGTTCATACAATCCTCCTCCATCATCACAGTGTCTTGAGTGCTGGGAGAGTAGAACAGAAATGGCATGTCTTGTGAAGAGGACGGTTTCCGGCTATCCTAAAGACAAGTTAGCTAAATCGTTACTTTGAGGTTATTACGCAGAGACAGTTTCATCTCAAATAGGGAAGTCTCACGCTACTTGGTCTAGGCAGTGATGTAATTACCAGAGGTGGGGATTGAAAGTACTTGGGTTTTGTTTGGCAACTGCTTGCAGAAACTAAGAAGATTCATAGTCCCATGCCTTAGATGATAAATTCATTTAGAGCATCTCAGGTTTTGGTATTGAGAGCCTTAACGGATAGACTGCAAGACTGGATTTTAAATTCAACATCTGCGCAGTTCTGCGCTAAGAGTTGCCCAGTACTTATGTTACCACGATGTCAATAATTTTAAGTTGCATCGTTGACATAAGTGAGCTGAAAATGTATGGGCATTCATCTTAATGAGTGTTATGTCTTTACTAACATTAACCTGAGTAATTGATATTGATACACATATAGAGTGAATTGTAAAATTACTGACTATATTGAAATTGTCATGAATGAAAATTAAAAGCACGTAGCAGAGACGTTGTTAAAACTTACCTTAGGAAAGTTACTGTCTTGGGCTTCCAGAGCATCAATTCTTACGAACTTTCTGCTGACAGTTGGATGTAATTCCTTGTAATCTTGTTGGAAGAGACAGGTGGGCTTCTTCAAAAAAAGACTGAATTCCTTGATAAAATCAATTCATCCAGTATTGCTTTTTATAATGATGTTTCCCTGGGTATTTTTGTGGAAGTTGATATTACATGTCACAACTCTGCGTCACCAAAACAGAAACATACTCATTATGAAAGTTTGTCGTGTTCCTTTTGTAGAGATTAATCAGTCCGAGGGCTTTGATGATTTTATGACCAAAAAAGAACAGTCTGAAGTTTACATTGTATCAGGATCAATCTTTAAAAAGGGGAAACTGACTTTTGAATGTGTCCACGTTCAACATGCCCGAGCAAGAGCATAACCTGAGTCTACGTCCCTGACTTATTTTTACACCAGTCACCATGAAAATATAAAACGATGAGTTACCTTCTGTACGCTGGTAGATCACAACCTATGAAGTTTACTTTCAGCTGGGTCGCATGAGATCTGAGCTGTTAAGCTGAGCATGTCTTGATCTGGAGTCTAGTCAGGCAAGAAAGAATAATCTGCTACTTCGTTCTCAAAGCATCTGGGTAAGAAGTAGGTGGGCAGAAATCCTTTAATTCCTCTCTCATGCTACGTTTGTAGTTCAAAAGTATGTTCTTTGAAAGCTGGAAGACAAAGATGGTACTCATGAAGCAAGAATAAGGAGAATGCTGTGCATTTGTACGTTTCATTTGTCTAAAATGTATTTTTTTTTCTCTTTCCTTTTTTTAAAAGCCCAAAGATGAGATTATCATTTATCGTGTTTTCCACCCAGGCGCACGTCATTATGCCATTAACTGGAGACAGGTTAGTGCACTGCTTTTTTAATTCTCCCTCTCCTTCCTCCTCCCTCAAGGGCTCTTATTAAATCAGAGAAACAGTAACAGATACCGAACAATAACTGATACCTCTAAGTGGTGGCCAGTCATGAAGCCTCTGTGCAGAGCTGGATTTGATTTTGTGAACATATCAATGGATAGCCTAGTAAAAAAGGAAGAAGAACCATGGGAAATAAATTCTCTGCCACTGCTTTGCAGCACAACTACAAGTAACGTTTTCATTTCTGCGTGACTCCGCATCTTCCGTGGCACAGCAGGATAAATGATTCCTGCTTTTACTTTTGTAAAGCAATGTCTGTAGATAAGCCTTCAGTATTTTTTCATGTCTAGGTAAAGAATGCAGTGGTAAATTAATGTTTCCCATAATCTCATAGAAGGTAGGTATTTCATTTTGTATTGTCAGATCACAACTTCAAAATCAGTTTTGGACAGTGGAGTTGGTGCCACTGGAAAGGCAGAGATCTTTCTGGCACTGGATGGTGTAGGGATGCACATTTCCATTGATGTTTTTGGAGGCAGTGGAATTCAAGGCTGCTCACTCTGTTTTCTAAAGCAAATAAGGATTATCAGCTAGAATAGGTTAAGGATAGGTGGAGGGAAAACGGAGAAAAGTAGGCAGAGAAGAGATTGTTGCAAAAGTAACTACTAAAAATACAGGAATTGGAAAAAGATATTGTGGAATCAGTGCTTTCAGCAGAGGACGGAGTCCTTCGGTATCCTTTCAGCCTTGTCAAAAACAACACGACCTCCTGTCTGTCTCCCTTCTGTCCAGAAAATAACCACACTGCACAACTGTTTGTATTGAGAATGTGTAGATAAACCACTCGGGAATCATTTTAACCAACTGTGGTAGGGTGGGAGCAAGGTGGTCCTTCCTTTCCGCTCCCTTTACTAGAGTCAATACAAAGCGTGGTCTGCCATAATCAGTTTACTGCGGTGTTTTGTTTTGGTTTTGGTTTTTGGTTTTTTAATTTTAAATGATACGTAATAGCAAGTACAAGACTTACTGAAGAGACCTGTTACTGTCATTGGCATCAGACAAATGTGTCACGCTACAGAAATGTATGCTGACATCCTAGAAATAGGATGTTTAAAGACCCTATTCTAAGCCCCTCCTGTTTTAGCATTTAAAAAAGTGGTCTGACTTGAGGACGGCCAAGTTTTCGCTTCCCTGCACCCGAACTTGGATGCTGCCTCTGCTCTCTGCAGGGAGAGACAAGGTTATAAGCCATTTTTCCAGATGGCTTGAGAGAGGTCAGGAGAGGACACTTAAGCCGGTTCTGAGGACTGCTGAAGTCAATGAGAACCTTTCACTCCCTTTCAATAGGCCCTTAAATCCCTGTCATTGGCCTGTTCCTTATCAAGCACAGAGAGTCAGCACTGATAGCGTACAGACCACTTGGAATGCTGGGGCAGAACTCTGGAACCCCGCCACGCAAACACAAGCGCCTTTTTCATTGCATATCTGTGGCGCGCTGTAAGCCACGGAAAGAACCTTGGTTTTTTTTCGGGAGCCTTGTTTAAAGCATGGGAAGGACGCTTTTGAGTTCTAGTGAGTTCCTTTGTGGTATTTTTCTTGAATGCAAGGTTTGCTGATGCTTTTGTGAGTGTGGTAGGGCAGAGGGAATTACTACCCTTATAGTTGAGGAGGAATTATGAGGAGAACCAAGTCACATTAGTAACTGTGACCATATATACGTAGGTAAGAATCGATAGATACAGTTGGAACAGCTGTCCTTTTAAATATTAAAGAAATCAACAGAGGAAAATGACTTAGACTGTCTAAGTTCCATTGTTCCAAACAGAAGATGAGGTTGCCAAGTGCAGTGCAGTTTTGGGGATGGGTGTGTATGTGTGTATGATTATGAGGTATTATGGTCTTGGTTTTTTTTATGTGCATTTGGGACTTACAGGCATGTT